GAGATATGCTAATGGAGATTGGGGACAAGATCAAGAGTCGTGACAGACAACTTGAATCTCGACCTAGTTGCAACGGAACATGAGAGGGTCGTCGACAGCTCGGGGCAATGGAACGGTGAAGTAGACGAGTGAGGCGAGGAAACAAAGTATTACGGAGTTCGCTCGCGAGATGAGGGCTATGATCGACAGGGCAGGCAAGATTTCCAGTGGTCGAGAATCGTCACAGGGATCTGGAGAGAGCAGAAGCGAATGGCTAAGCAAATGCAACTGCGGATAGAACGCTACAAGTGTCGAGGTCTGAGGCCAAACGATCACAGGTGACGATGGAAGTAGAATGTGCAAGATCGAAAGATCGAAAGCGTTCGAAGGGTTCTGGGAGATTCGGGGCAAGCGACGGCCGAGAGAAAGGGGGTGCGGCAATCTGGAGAAAGTCGAACCGGGGAGACGAGGGGCAGAGAAGGCCAAGATGGCGATGGGTTACGGTGATGGCGATAATGAGGAGGAGAATAGAAAGGAAAAGGAAGAAAAGACACCTGAACAAGGAGAAACAACGAGACGATGAGATGAGATGGTGAAGAAGTCAATCTGTTGTTCAGAAAGTGAGGTGAGGTGATTGAGAAACCTCAAGAGCCTACCTAGGTGGGTACGTAACTCGTGTTATCCACACGCTAATAATGCATGGGATGGTCCTAGTCGGACTTGCAGAAAAGGGACCCCGGTGCAGAGGCTCCCTACAGTGGACTGCCAAAGTTTGTTTTCTACAAGGCACAGACAGCGGTAGAGTCCCTATAATTTAGCGGTCCAAGACCCAAATTCCGGGTACACGACCACCCTAACGCGGCCCATCGTGGAAGTGATCTCGGACATGCAACCCTTTCGACATGAACGTGATAGCAGTGTGGTTGCAATCTAACGCCTATTCAGAAAATAGCCTCGAATGAGGATTGATCGCTAGGAAGGAAGAGGCAAGTGACAGCCGCGATTCATCTACCTCACTCAAACATCCATCGGCTCTTGGGTCTTCAGCTTGATCACGATAATAATAACACAACCTCACGCGTTCAAAGACAACGTATCAGGCTGGTAACCGTTCCGTAGTCCTGGAGATACATAAGGTATTGTCAGCATGCAGGGGACAAGGGGCAAGACGTCGTAAGCCAGTTCTCTCCGTCCGTCTTGTCTGGTCTGGTCTGGTTGCTGTTGGCATCTCAAGATGGTCGATATTCACACATGCCTCTCATGCACCCGCACTCGTCCTAAACACGAGGTGCTCGTGGAGCCATCCCAGGGATTCCCCAAGTGAAAATCCCACAACTCCCAGGAGACTTGAGCGGGTCTTGTCAATGCCAGAAGAGCCTGTACGTTCACCATTGGTCACCGCTGCACTGAGCTAGCAGGGAGCCTGGTTCGGTAGAGTGACCACGTCGAGAGTCTCTCATCTCTCGCTCTGTTTCCTGTTGTGCTTTCTAGGCTGTCGCGAGAGAGGCAGAGAGCATTGATCCAGTACATAACAAACTCCTGTCCGTGCTAGTTTGGTGGCTTTTGCCTGTGCTTCCTCTGCTGCATTGCCCAGTGACCAGCTGACGGGACCGGGAAGGGCTCAAACATTGGTGCTGTTTCTGTGCGAGGCTACATTGGTGCTTGAGATTAAGTCCCTGAATTTCTTACTTTCCGTGCCGTTGTCGCTTGTCGGCGGTCCTACGTCTGTTACCGTCTCAAACTAGGAGACCGAAGCGGATTTCGGGGTCTTGAGAAGGAGGAAAAAACCACCTCACAACAGACAGCGACTACGGGATACATACTCAGGGGTATGACCGTTTTCCGGCCGCTGCACAAAATACCTGCGTGTACAGTACAGTACAAGACATACATACACATCCATGAATTGGATCAAAGCAAGGGACATTCAGGGGATAAACCTGGCTTAGTAACTGATCCACGTCAGACGTGCCAATCACCAATGAGCATCATAGACGTTGAGAGGATCAACATTGAGATACGATTGATTTTCACGCTTTAGCTCCTTTAGGGGTTCGCGCTTGTGTGTGTCTCGTCTGGAAAGGGTCATGGCTTTTCTCGGCTGTTTCTTTCAGGTTGTGACTTCTGAGCCGGACAATTGATAGCGGCTAACGTTAGATCGAGCCAAACAGTCTGGTATCGCTTGGCGTTGTGTTTAACATAACCAACAGGTCTTGAGGCTATTCTGGCCATGTTAACAGATATGTAATCAATCTGGCAATGACTCGCCGTTTTCAAATAAGAAAACAAATATTATCTCAGTCTTCCAGTCAACAAGACTACCCAGTCGAGATGTGTGTGAACCCACTCAGCTGCTGAATGAACTTCTTTTAACTCGGTCAACTTTCAGGAACTCAACTCTTATTGTTCGCCCTGCAAGATACGAAAACACCAATTGTTCCTTCAGCTGCAACCATTCTCTTCAAGTGCCCGCAGTTCTGGGATTCCTCAGGCATATGATCGAGGCCGTTGGCTCGATGTCGGCAGAGAGAAGCGTCTCATGGCTTGCAGTCTGCAGTAGCTTCTGCAGGGTGCGTGGGATCTGACACCAAACATCCCATAAGTCCAACTGGTCCAGTATTTTCAACGGCCACAGCGGGACACTGAAAAAGAGTCCCCATGGGCCGAAGACGCGAGTCCAGTGGATCTCGAAGCAAAAAAAAGAGGCCAATCTCATGCATGATGAAATCGTAGACGAGCCCTCGACTTCTGATAGGAGGGGATTTGACAAGACATGTTTTACAAGACGACACCATCTTCCATCACTTTGACCCTGAGAGACATTCCTATGCTTGACTCTTGCTGCCGTGGAGTCTCTTTCAACTCACCACAATTGCTGACCCTTACATATCAAAGGCATTCTCCTTGGCCTTGCTTCTCCTGTTCCTGTATCATAACACAGCTCATGCATGGTACTGGAATTTTCCATGACAACATGATATGGTGCTCCAGTCTCCTCGCCTCTTCCAAGTACAATAATAGTAGTTATCCGCGTATTTTTAGAATGGGTCCGCAGGTCGTCAATCGCGTACCCACTGAGGAGCTTGATTGTGCGTGTATTTCTGCTTAATGGATGTGTACAGAATTGCTACTAGGCCAAGAAAGTCCCGTCAGAACTTGGAAAGATCAGGTTTCTAGCATGTTCATCTTGTCGCAGAAAGGGAAAGAATACCGAAAGCACAAAACTTTAACAGAGGAACTATTACTGACGATAAACCTGATCATGGATGGATTGTCCTCACCGACAAAACACCGTCACTTACATACCAGTGTCTGTCTGACTCAATTTACGGGTCTGGGGTAGGTAGAGAATGACAATGGAGGAGACATCCTGGACATTTCCAGAGTTGAAACAAGCTCGCAGGCTGGGTCTCAATCTACATTCTGAGACAGGCACATTAAATTCTGGCGTTATTTTAGATTGCTTCATCATGCTTATTGCTGTATATATTGAACCATGCTATAGAAACTGCGCCTCCTGGAGCAGAAGCAAGTCATGCTATCTGGATCTCTATTGACAGAGATAGAAAGAACTGAGATGAACTCAAATCTCGGCTCTGCAACAGGCCAAATGTGTATTGTTGAGGTCTTGGCTGCTGAGGTTCGTGTGTATACATCCCATTACAGTTCTGCTTTAAACCTCACGAGCATTTGCTTGTTGGAGAAACTGACCATGGTCCCAAAAGCAGAGTTCATACTAAATATATTGCTCAGTTTCCCACCGTGACTTGTAAGGTCCTTGCCCTGGCTGTCGCGGCTGTCTACTTTTCAAATCAGCCTCAACTCAATTAACCATCCAAGCAGACTCCCGCATTTGCCGTTCTCCAACCCTATGGCCCGTCTGGACCGACTAGATTCCAGGTTTGACCAACAATTTAGACAGCTAGCTTGGCTTTCGCATTAATTTAAAACTCATTAAAGTGCTCGTCTCTTCATTCGGCGTCTCTAGCTCGATATACGCAATCCAATATACACGCACAGGCTAATGTGCGAACCGTTCTTCGGTATTCCAAAGAAAAGCGAAACTGCTTGGGTAATGCAGATCAACCTCTCATCATCCACGATTTAATTACTGGGCGCATTCAACAGCGTCTCAGCTCATGGGCCCGGCCAACTGCGTTGAGATTGGGGCCGTTCCCCTATGTTCAGATAGATTACACAGGGATATGAATTCATTTCAGTTCTTAGGACGACTTGGACATCCTCCAGGGGTCTTTGAAAACCTCCTAGCGTCGTTCAAACAGAGTAATTCCCGCAGCTAATTGCCGGAGAATGCTGTACGTAGCCCACTGTCCCCATGGGCTGGTTGGCCACCATTGTCTATTCTTCAATTTCGGTGAAGTTGTCCTAACTGAGCTTTCTGAGAGAGAGACCGGCGAGATGTTACAGATACATCAAATGATCGACATTGACACGAAAGATTGATTGAATGCAACACCAACAAGCCTCGGGCCAGCTTGTAAAGTGGTCCTGGTGAAATTCGATCACAGTTTCTCCAGATTTTTGAACAAATCCATTCGTGACAGGCTGAATAGACTAGACGTCGATACTACATAATCCTCTCAAGGTAGTAGTATTGTGCGTGATCCGCGTTGTCAGATTTGCGAGAGGCGTAGTAGCTGTTCTGGGGCTGATTTCCATATGGAGGAAGAGGTAGCGCTGAATCCCTTGTTTATTAACTTAAAACTCTACGATAGCACACACTGCCCCCGAAGAATACTTGCTGCACTCCATACATCCATCCATCCTTAACAACACGGCATAGAAACCCCGCGAAGACGGATGCTCTCTAAAGGGCCGATCCGACAGCGCAAATCATCTCTCTTCCCCGCCAGCACAAGCATATTCATCACAATCCCCTCAACGTCGCCGGCCGCTTCGGGAAGTTAAACCGCTGGGGGTTCATGTCGATCTGATCAGACCCCGATAGCGGCACAGATGATTAATTAAGAACCGGCGGTGAGCCCTTGATTAACCTTGTCATGGTAGGTGTCCCGAGGAGCACTGGATGCCGACTTTGCAGAACCAGGAAGGTCAAATGTGATACCCTCAAGCCGTCCTGCGGCAACTGCATCAAATATGGAGCAGAGTGTCCAGGCTATTCTCGTGGCCTGAAGTTTGTCGATGAGAAGCATCAGATTCGTCAACGCGGCAGGCGACAGGGCAAAAGCGAACAAGTGTCGACCAGTTCCTCTTCCAGCACAACGGGCTCTGATATCGCTACATCAGACTCAGAAACATGGTCTCTCGTTAGGCCCTCGCCAACCCTGCTGAGGCTGGAGTTACCAAGAGGGCCACTGCTACTCAACATGATAGAGTCGTCCACTAACTACACTCGGTCCACTGATGTCTTTATACTCTTATCATGGTTGACCATTGATCGTCTAGGAAAGAGGGCTCTGCTCGACGGGGCTATTTGTTCTTTTGCTCTACATCTGACTGGCAAAGCAAACTCCAATGCCGACCTGGTTGCCAAAAGCAGAACCATATATGGCTTGGCACTCACTGAGTTGCAGGCCGCTCTGCAACACTCCACAGAGTGGAAGGCATCTGAGACCTTATGCGCTGCTATACTCTTGTGTTACTTTGAGGTATTCCTGCCACCACTATTCTCTATTCAAAGCTTACACCCCATAGCTGTTTGCTGGGACAGCAGTCCCTGATACTTGGATCCAACATGCCAAAGGCATTGGAACTCTAATGGAGCAGCGAGGGCCAGCAGCTCATGCTGAAGGCTGGGACGCAGCTATGCTCCTCTCATGCCGTGGTATTCTTGTATGTCCCACGTTTCTCCTTGACTACTGCAACAAGGCAAAGGATAAGGAACTCGCATTATCTCCAGGTCAAGTGACAGAGCTTTGCGAATGTCTTCCAGTAAGAACCAATCGCTGTTTGGGGAGTACAATGCGTTCGATCCTGTCTCTGTTTCGTCACCGGCAGGGTTACTCTGGCCTGCTGCATTGAGATGGCGCGATATAGCATCTCACATATCACCCATCCAATCCAAGTGGGCTTGCCATCCTAGCCCTTCACCTTGAGTGGATCTTCCGTCCCTTTGCAACGACTTTGACAATGTTACCCTAGCGGGGTCACCACTAACACGGTCCCATGTCAGACTATAAGCGATATGTTCTATCCCGGAAAGGACCAATTGTTCCTGTCGAGGCCAGCATGGAGGCATGTCACGTCTGATGGCGGTAGACGTCTCATCTATGCTCCTGACGCCCCGATTGAGCACATCCGCGTCGGTGATGGCTTCCTTGCAAACCTGGCCCAGCTCACGCCTATTTTGCATGGGGCTTATCTTCTGAGAGAAGCTAATAAGGCTGGCATGTTTGTTGAGCCTGACAAAATCTCCGCCTTGGCCCACCTAGCCACCGTGGAACATGCCAGATTGGCGCGATGGTTCGACGATTTCGACGCGCTTGAGTTTCCAAGACCGGTCGAGGTTCTGCCAACCGACCCGGCGAATTCGTTGTTCGGGACAGTGCTGGAACACAAGTCGGCAGCAGCCGGGTCCTTACTCATGGGGTACTGGGCAAGTATGCTCATTCTAGAAGAGACACTGGTCGAGTGCGGGACACCGCGAGCTAACTCGGAGATATCCATCCGGTACTTCGTGGAACAGATATTGCGGTCGGTAGAATCTGTAGGACGAGGCACCATGGGGCCATATCGAATTGGGTTCGCCATACGGATCGTGTATGAATTCGCTACCGGGCAAGAACAGAGGTGGATTGCCAGCATGTTGGATAAGTTCTCACAAGGGTATGCTGCAATTGACAAGAAGACATACCCTAAGCCTAAGGACGATGATGCTCAGCCAACGCGGTTTGTTCAGTCTACAGCTTAGGGTGGATGGTGTCCTCTGAGGTGCTGGTGGGAGTTGGGGTATGTATGATGACTTGGAAGGTCCCCCAAGATGATATTTGATACTGTAGGTAGATGCTGTTTGTTGGTAACCTCAGGAGTTTCCCGCAAGTCCATTGATATTCAAACCTTCACAAATATTTACATCAATGCTGAATCTATTGATCGAGGTTGACAAGCGTGATCTCCCCTTTCAACTAACTAGCGTCAAGATAGCCGGTCCTCTTTTGCCATTCATGTACTCTGAATGCCGCAAGTACTCTTCTTGATTAGTTATCTGGAGTGATATAGCTGAAATTAACCTTGTTCTTCAAGGTTATTGAGACCTGGCGGTTTGCTCAAATGCCATGTTCTTTGATACCTACATAGTTGTTACTGGTGTGACTGAGTCTTAATTCCTGATTGCAACTATGTTAAAGTTGTGAGACATGTAATGGTTGTCTTGTGTCATTCGATGATAGGAGTTTGCTATGGTGGATTGGAAGCTTGAACCTAACTCTGTCGAGACTCTATCAGTTGTATATGATATTTGGCACAAAAGCATTGCAACTCAGCTGAAGTTTCGGCGGTCCAATGTGACCCTTGTTCTCTGAATAGATGTTGATTGTGTTTCACAAATATGACTCGAGTGCCAACTTGGGAATTTATAGCCCCCTCGAGATGGCTCATACTCATGTAGTAAGCTGCATCGCTCTACATGAGGGCGGGGTCTCCTGAAAAGAAACACTCATATCTTAGAAGCTCATGAGTGATGTTACCTAAACGTAAACACAGTGTGGTTTAGTTTGAGGTTCTGAATAGAAAAGAAGTTGCGAACGATGACTCAGGGAGACCAGTACATTGTTCCCATCAGCATGTACAGCAGTGGATTAATCATGCTAGGGGATGAATCCAGGCCCATAGCGAGGGTATACTTGTACCTTGAATGTTTGATCAAGTTTGTACGAGTTGTGGAAGAAACAGCGTAGTAAGTAATACAGCCCTGCCGTCCAATATCCATCAGGAGCTACTGGATTTCATACGAACTCTACTAGCCATAGCAAGTGACAGATAGAATATCATACCAGTTTCAATCTCATAGTGAGTATCTTATGGAATGGATAACCATGGGTAGTTGAAGTCAATTCCAATATCACTTGTGTCATTTATGAGTGCACTCCTGTCACTCATCAAAAGTCTTGCCACCTCAACAAAACCACTATCAGTTGGACGCAGACAGGAACCGATAATTTGTTAAAGAAAACATGAGTAGGCTTTGAACCTGTCATTCTAGGAAACGAAGGAGTTCCTTTTATAATAAGCCGCCAATGTCAACAGTTCGTATCACTTCAGCAGTACAAGAATTGCCAGAATCTGTGATTGCGATAAATTTTCACTTCTAATTTTATTGAAAACACTATGGTAGCATGTCTGTGTCAAATGAACGATGTGCACGAATTCTCACATTGTGTATTCACATGTCACGCTGCTTCAGGTCAATACGTGCGAACTATACCACGACGTCGCACCTATTGCATAGTCCAATCACATGTAAATTGACACGAACACTTGTAGATAGACAACTATACTCGTCTGCCAAAGGGTGTTCTTATCCACCCCCAACAAAATCCTCCCCTCAGGGAGTAAGAAAATATCTGACCTTAATATAAGGTATCAAAATAAACCCAGCAAAAGATATCCTAAGTTTATGTAAAGTTACCTAAGTCTTTTTGTCATTTAGGATCAAGGCCCTAAGTTTTCTTTCCTCCCCTAGCCTCCTCAGGCGGTCTGTAAATACGGTCTCCTTTCTCAATGACCAGGTTTAGGTCCATTTCCGGGGCGTTGTGTAACGACGGGCTCAAAAGGTAAGCAGATGGTGTAGCCAATAATAAAGCTCATCAGCTCTGTCACATCTCAGTTCAAACTCTGTTGGCCCATTCACTTGAAACGTATGTCAACTGGACCGCTCACTGGTTCGATGTCTGGCTTCCTCACATAGTTACGAGGAAATACAGGGAGAGCGATAGACTAGGTACTCCTACCATGAGGAGTCTCACGTTGCACAAATCTGCTGTCCAATGGATATCAAGACACTGAGTGGTTTGGCTGGGAAAAGTCGCCAGAGTACAACACAAGGGGCGACTTGTCCATGGCTATCCGATTTACCGCGAAGCATTTACCCACGACCATCCAAACTTTCGGTGTAGTTCCAGCGCCAGTCATACACCAAGGTACAGTATGTGATAAATTTCAGTCAAAAGGCTCATTCCTGGCAGTGACTCCCTGTTCATTGCTCGCATCACTCATGAGCTTCATTCTAGTCTAGTAAATACCTCCACTCATCTAGTTCGAGCAAAGAAACCACAATACACTCGCATTAGCAAAGATAATACCATACTGATCCAATTACAAAGCCTCAAAGCAACAAATGGGGTGCTTACCACGGAAGTTCCCTTCGGTGCTACTCAGATGAGATCTGCTCATCTCTTCAATGAATAGAGAACCAGCTACTCCACTGAATGACAAAAAGAAAAGAAAATCGTACGACAAAAGTACCAAGATTAAACTAACTGGGCCGTAATGATATCCACCTCTCAGCACGTCCCGAAGATCTGAGACTCCCGGTACGCAAGATAGGGCTGATATAGGCAGGTATGAAGTCGGGATGAATCATGGGCCGAAACTTTGATCTCAAAATTGCCGTGAATACCCCAGAAGGCAAAAAGTTGTTAATCAGAAATGAGAGCAAAGATCGAGCGGCACCTTAGTTCTAAAGAAGATGTTGCCAAGATGACGAACGCTTTTTGGTAGAGACTGATGAGAGTTTCTTTAGCTACCTCGCATTTGAAGCAAAGGCTATCATTGTGAGATGCAACCTATCGACGTAATTGACGGCGTGGCCGTTAGAGCAGATGATGCAACGGTCTAAGAGCTCACCACTGCTTGGTCCCTGGAGAAGAGTCATCGTAGGGTCTAGAACCCGTCAGCTAAAAGGCACCAACCTGATAAAGCAAGGTCAATCGGATCATAACCTCCTCGCTGGAAAGTGCCGTTTGACACTTGCAACTGTGGCTTTCAGCTCAAGGCCACATCGTCATCCCTTGCCATAGTTTCACTAAAAATAAGAGCTTGGGCTTATGTGGCTGCAGCTCGTCAGTCTGCCCTGCGCTCTAGACCGTGTCTTTTGTTTAAGGTTCTTAGTAGTGGAAGACGCCGCGATGCAACGTTCCTACACTATCTCTCGGTTAGAGAGAGTTCTCGCATAGCTATTTTGGGCAGCTAGACTCTTGATCGCTGGGTGCGTACCCGACACAAATGTTCGTAGGATGACTGAGTTTATTTGGCAAAATCGAGCTTGGTGTAAGCCACTTTTGACTACCTATAGTAAGGCTGACTTCAGGTGAGGTTGCTAACAGCTGCGTACGTGTGCAACCAAATCAGCCAATGTGCAGATCTGATCCAGTTGCTTATACGATTAAGCATCTGACGTGGAACCTCGAAATGCTTGCCATGACAAACGACCCCAAAGTCCATCAGGCAGCAAAATAATGCATACACTAAAAATGCCAATGTTCAATTGACCAACGAGATCTCAAGCCGCGTATCTCATGATAATTCCCCATGACTTCACCAAGCCAGAATGAGGTTGCATCGGAGATATGAGAAGCCCCCGCCAAGCAATAGTTTGTTCTCTTGGCCCAAGGCTGAGAGAACGCCCGGGTTCGGTGTGACAGACCTTGATCTTATCTCGACATTATCTGATACGGATGGGCGAATCATTACCAAGACCGTCAATCTTACATGCATAGAATTCCTTCTAGCGAGCTTCTGGAAATGGAGTTTTGGTGGAGACATGGTCACGAGGTTCTTGTTCTCTCTCTTGGCGGGCAGGATAAACGGTGCCGATGCTTCGGTGCTTCCGACTATGGGGAAACCGGTCTCCACCCGGCGGATGACGGTCCGGGGTTATGTCAGCATCTCGGCCGACCAGTGCCGCCCTTAGGTTCCACTGTTGTCATTGGAATTCCGCTAGATGGGAAGTGAGGGGAGAAGAGATAAGGGGAACCAAGGGATGGGCAAAAGTAAGGGACTTGGCTACGGTTGAGCTATTTACTGCTCATCACAATAAATGCCGAATAACTGTATTACGGCAGTGTCTGACTCCCTTGTCATACGACTCTCCGATTGACCCTATCGTAATATTTACCGTATCACTCGTACTCAGCACTGACTCCTTGTTAGCACCTGAATGGCCACCTGCACGGCGATCAATGTCAAAGGTGAGCCACAAGGTCGCATCGTGTCTTCAATTGGACCCCGCGGAATCCATAAGCTATCCAAACCGGCACGTCATACCCAAGAACAGCCAAGCTAGCCAAGCCTTCGTCTGACTACAGGCATTTTTAGCGTCGCTCCATAGGGCGGCATCTGCTACGTAGCAACTAGGGTTGGCGTGGTCTTGGTACAGCTTGGGGTAGATCAGCCGCAGAAGCATTGTTGACAAGAACTTTTATTTAAGGGAGTCTTTCCCCCTTGGTGATTCTGTCTTATCCTCCTCATCATCAGTCAATTCCTTCATAAACAAACAAACTCTCCTTGAACATCTTTTAGATTGCACCAGGAGTGCCTTGAACATAACTACAGTACCTTGAAGGTTAATAGACGATACATCTACGATACCCATACCCAGCAGACTAAGACAGTCGAGCAATCACTTCAACTATACACCACATACAACTCTTCAACTTTACAAACATCACAATGGCTTTCGGATCCTCTCGCACCAGAACCTCTTCTGAGGAGCAGCGTGGACGAAGCACTGAGCCAATTCCCCTCATGGAGTCCAAGGTATGTGACACTGAACTCAGACTTAGCCTGGACCCCACTAACAACGCTATTTCAGCAACGAACAAACTCATACTCCAGCGAGTTCTCGACCCAATCTACGGCATCTTCCACAACCAAAGCTTCCCGCTCTTGGTTCAAGGCTGCTCCCCAGCCAGTAAACAATGTTACCTACTGTGGCCGCCATTCAAGCCAGTTCCTCTTTGGCGGCCCTTCTCTGGCTGATCTCGCCCGGGCGATGTTGGGCAAGGATTGAAGTGTCAGCTGTACGAGCACATACGAACAAGAACAAAGAAACCCTGCTCTGCAGCATCACCAGCACTATAGCATGACCGCCTAATCACGCCAAAGCAACATAACACTGCGCTGGTAGTCTCACACTCACTCATCGTCACTGGCTGGTACGGGACGGACACTCTCATTCATTGGGAAGCGTGGCGTCTTTGGTATTGTCACAGACAATTAATTGTCCATCCAACCAGGCGCAATTAGGGAAACTTTTTTAGGAGTCGGGGTGGGAATGACTGTACCACGAGAGACATGATACCATTTTTGTGTAACAATACCTATTAACTACAATGAGTCCATGAAATCGATACAAAATTTTTACAGAATCTGTTCAAACCCGTTTCTAAATTTGGTGTGATGTACAACAAGGGAAAAAAAGTCTGATCAGGCCGTGTTTTCCGTTTCACGAATCGTGAAGATCCTCGCATTGCGTGGCTAGTCTTGGCGATTATGAGCCAAGACCTGGGCCGCGTAATGTTTGGCCGAGCATCCGACTGTGAGGGTATTCAGGGTCCGGGAATATTACGATGAAAATGTGACTATTCCCGTTGTAGTCCTGGAAACACTAGGGTAGGTCGGTTCAGCAGCCGAGCAGAGATCTAGACCAAGCTGATTACGGAGTATACGCGGTCTCCAATAGATAAGAGTTTGACGTTTCTTACGATCCCCCATCTCCTGTGCTACGGGTAATTTCTATTTATTCTATGCCATACTATCTATGTTTGGGTTATGATTCATCATATTCAGATGATAGCTTCTAGGGGAATGCTGTACATCGCTGTCTTACAATTTAAATAATGTGCCAATCAACAAGGTACAATAGTCTCAGTGGAATATACCAAGCGCAGAGTTCACGAACCCCAATTTCCAATGATTATTACCTGGTGAAATACACGTAGTCATAAATCCCTCTCAATAGCTTATTGATGATCATGTGTGATCTATTGTTGTGTCTATTGTGCAGTGCTGCCTAAATTGTAAGGCATACGTTTTCTGGGGTAATGCGCATGCACCATGCTGTCAACGTCTTCAGCCCTACAACGATACCGAGCTTTAAATCAAGCTGACTACCTGGGACGAGCTGGGATAGATCGAATTTATATATAAGCATGTTGGAAAATATGATCTAGAATTGAAAGTGCAGATAGGCTTGGGTTAGGTCAAAAATGCGAGGAAAACGAATTTGAAGCCAAAACTGACCTTATTGACAATAAAAAAGTCCCCAAAGCCATGAAACAAGCCATGTTGAGAATTCGTCGTTTTGTTCTCGTCATGAGAGCTTCGTAGATCAAGCTACAATTAAACTGCGATCACATTGAAATTGGTGGTGACCCACCAATCAGAGACTGGAACCACAACCGCCTGAATGAAAGTGGGTCTACATTGCTAACCTGTCGTTTGGTATCCGTAACTAAACCTTCACTTCACGCGGCAAACCCCCAAATTCCATCTCCTATTTTGACCGCGTTTGCTTCGAATATACCATCAGCATCAGCCAGTTCAATCATCGACATTGCACGGGTTGGTTGCTTGGCTTGTTTTCGACTTGATGCCTTTGCGCCGATCTTGAGCGCCCCAGGCTCAACCGCGACCCAGGCCGCGCCCATGCATGCTTTGACGTGAAATCATATCTAGACGCGCATATAGGTGAGTTTACCCCCAAAAATCCATCAAAAGGAACGCGACTATTCGATGAATCCAATGCAAGGTCCGCGCTGATAGCTGTGACTATTGTGACCCTGTCGGCATCCCTTGGCTGACCTCCCTTTGCGTACAGAACCGCCAAAGTTCAAATTATACCAACCTTCCATCTTATTTACGCGCAAACACCATAACAACCATGGTTAGCAAACGAAAAAGAGTCCTCGAGGACTTTGATCCCAACAAGTCCGATCCCGAAGACGAGAATTTCGACCCTTCGGAAGCTGGACCACCCCGAAAAAGCACAAAGAAGCACTCCCGTTCACGCAGCGGAAAACCCAGTCGCCGACGCAGGAACGGTTACCTGGGTTCAGACATCGATGATGACGAGGACGAAGTCTCTGACAGCAACGAGGACGACTTCCTCGATGACGACGATGAAGAAGAGGATGATGCTGCTCCTGTGAATGCCGCTGGCCGTCGCGCCAGAAAAGCTGCTACGCAGCCCCGCAACTACGCAGAAAGCAGCGAAGGAGAAGAAGCATCAGCTACTGGTGACGAATCTGATAAGCCTGGCGATGAGGACGTTAAAGTTGACGAAGATGTCGAAGAAGACGACGCTGAAGGCGAGCCAGTAGAGGAGCCTGCCAGGTCAACTAGATCCAGGGTTGTCAAGCTGAAACTCACCAACTCCAAGTTGCCTGCACCTCGTAGGACTACTCGAGCTCATACAGAGGAAGCTGAAGAGTTCCTCGAACTTTCTAATTCTGGGAAACACGCCGTCCCGTCACGCGATTCGCGAAGTAGAAGTCCCGAGACATTCGCTCGGAGCACGAGAGCTACCCGTGGGTTCAAAGGCCTCAAGAAAGCCCCCGAGACGATTCAAGAGGCTACACAGGAAAGCAGCTTTAAGGAAGTCAGAGAAGCCGACCAGCCCGATGAATTATCTCAAGATCCTGAAGAGATTGAAAAGAAAGAGGTGGCTGATCAAGAAATGCTAGATGCTGCTGATCAGGATGCACCTGGAGAAGATGCGCCCGTGCAGACGGTAGAGGAGGAGGATGATGAGGATGATGTGCCTGTTACTCGCCGAACCCGTGGATCCCGCGCCAACGCCTCCGCAGCACCGGAAGAAGCTGAATCGGATGCTGGACCTAGAAAGACACGGCGACTTACCCGCAAATCGAGCAAAAAGTCCCAAGAAGTTAGTAGTGACTTCGAACCTGGCGACGAATCTGACGATGCAGAGGGCTCCGGTGCAGAAAAGCCCCCACCTCAAGATGACGACGACGTTGATAGCCCAGTTCCCCGCGGCCGACGTTCCCAACCCGCCAGGTCTCGCCGTGGTGGGGACTCTGGAGACGAGGAACCCGAATTTGACTTGGACGAGTTGAATGAAGAGGCACGAGAACTTAGGCAGGACTCGCGCTCTCGTCGCCGTCGCCCAAGGAAAGAATCGCCCATTGTGTACCAGGAAAGCACTCGGCGAGCGAGAACACGCGTGAATTATTACATGCCTCCTCTCACCTCGGCTAATATTGAGGAGGAAGAAGTTGAGGCTCCTGCTGCACAATCTCGCTCGCGCCGAGGACGTGGCGGTGCCAGTCAAGGCTGGGAACGCAGCCTTAACACCACGTTTGGACCTTTCGGAGGCGGCGGCGGAGCTGGATCCCTTCTTAATGGTCCTTGGGGTACTGGCGCAGCTGGCGGGGTTGATTCAGACAGCAGCGACGATGAGATGGTGCATCGCTCTAGTGTAGCTGGTAATGTCGGTATGACGCCGACAGCTGCGACTCACGGTGGGCTTCTTCCCGGTGTCCCTGGCCTAAACCCCGATGCTGGCGCTCCCAACGTTGGTAAGATCAAGGACCGCAAAGCTCTTGCGGATGCTGACCCTCTGGGTGTTGACCTGAACGTCGACTTCAGCAAGGTTGGTGGTCTCCAGGGACATATCGATCAGTTGAAGGAAATGGTGCAGCTTCCTTTGCTCTATCCCGAGCTTTTCACACGATTCCACGTCACTCCACCTCGTGGTGTTTTGTTCCACGGTCCTCCTGGAACAGGTAAAACGCTGCTTGCTCGCGCTCTGGCCAACTCAGTTGGCTCCGGTGGCCGCAAGATCTCATTCTACATGCGTAAGGGTGCCGATGCCCTGAGCAAGTGGGTGGGTGAAGCCGAGAAACAGCTTCGATTGCTCTTCGAGGAAGCCCGCAGAACTCAGCCCAGTATCATTTTCTTCGATGAGATTGATGGTCTTGCGCCGGTCCGTTCCAGCAAGCAGGAACAGATCCATGCTTCCATTGTCTCGACCCTGCTGGCATTGATGGATGGCATGGACGGTCGTGGTCAAGTCATTGTTATTGGAGCAACCAATCGACCTGACAATATCGACCCCGCTCTTCGTCGACCTGGTCGATTCGACCGAGAGTTTTACTTCCCGTTGCCTGATATCGAAGGGCGAAAGTCAATCCTCAACATTCACACGGCAGACTGGGGACTATCAGAGAAGTTCAAAGATTCCCTAGCCGAGAACACAAAGGGCTATGGTGGTGCTGATTTACGAGCTCTCTGTACTGAAGCAGCTCTCAATGCCATTCAGCGAACTTATCCCCAAATTTACGCCTCTAAGGAAAAGCTTGTGGTTGACCCTGAGAAGATTGGCGTTCATGCCACTGACTTTATGCTATCAATCAAGAAGCTTATTCCCTCCTCTGAACGATCAGCGACATCTGGTGCTAAACCTCTTCCCAAATCGATTGAGCCGCTACTACGCAAGCAGTTCAACGAAGCCAAGAAGGCCCTTGATGACTTGTTGCCTCGTCGGAAGAAGATGACAGCTCTTCAAGAAGCCATGTACGAGCAATTCGATGACGATGATCATGGCTTTGGTAGAGAAACCATGCACCAAGAGTTTGAACGATCCAGAGTGTTCCGCCCTCGCTTCATCATATATGGTGTTAGCGGTATGGGACAGAGTTACATTGCCTCTGCCATTCTTCACCATTTTGAGGGCGTTCATGTTCAGAATTTTGATCTTCCCAGCATCTTGGGTGATGGAAGAGTAAGTTTGTGCACTCACATGGGAAAAAACTACAGACTAACGCCGGCAGGCTATGGAGCAGGTCATTGTCGGTCTCTTTACGGAAGTCAGGCGACACAAACCTAGCGTTATTTATATCCCTAACATCGAAGCTTGGTATATGGCACTACACAACACTCTTGCTCTTACAACTTTCAAGACTATGCTACGATCTATTCCCCCTACTGATCCGGTTCTTCTTCTCGCGACAGCAGAGGGCGATAGAGAAGAGCTTTCCAGTGAACTCTTCCGCGACTTTTTTGGATTTGCGAAGAAGAACCAGATGAAAATCGAGAAACCTGATCTGGTAAGTAATACACTTGTGGAATGGGCTCCTGTGCTAACTTTTGTAGCATTCTCGAATGGAATATTTCAGCACAACGTTGCAATATGTTAAGAAGAAACCCCGCGAGTTCCCCGACCCTGAAAATCGGAAGAAGAGGGTCCTTGAAGAGCTCCCGGTGGCTCCTCCAATCGAACCACCGCCCCCTACCAAGGCTGATATGAAGGCTGCACAGAAGAAAGATCACCAGCTTCTCAATGCTCTTAAAATCCAGCTTCAACCCATTATGGATCAGATCAATCGAAAGTACAAGAAGTTCAGGCAGCCTGTCATCCCTCAAACTCAGATCGATTATCTTTTCGCCGAGTCGGACCCCAATTATGTGCGTCCAGACCTTGAAGCTGGACAACTTCGACCATATGAGATCGTCAAGGACAAATATGACAACGATGTCCTCAGAGATACCGCATCTGGAAAGTGTTATTATAACCTTGAGACAACCACCATCGAGGAGCGCTTGTCGAATGGCTTCTACGCCCGCCCAAAGGACTTTCTCTTCGACATTAAGGCTCTTGCAAAAGACGCCAAAAATATTGGAGATAAGGAGCGAACTCTCAAGGCCAATGAACTCCTCAGCAACGTCGAGGTTGATGTCGCTAGTATCGAAAACCAAACCTCTCAAGTTGACTGGGAGGCGCTATATAGGCGCCAAGTTCAGCGCGCCAAGGATGCTACCGAGAAGGAGAGAAAGCGAAAAGCCATGCAGTCTGTCATAGACCGTGTGCAATCTGATCTGGGTGGGAATGACAGCGACTCTCAAGGCCCTGTCACTCTGGGAGAAGCCGTGCCAGGATCGAGGACAACTGCCAGGTTCCAAGTTAGAAGCCCACTTTCAAATGGTCATGGCACCTCTGGTCAGGATTCGTCACACCCCTTAAGTAATGGACTCACTCACCCATTGGGAGAGGATGTCCAAATGAGTGGTGTCCAAGACGATACGCAGGCTATGTCTGACATGGGGCCTCCACCAAAGTCTCATGACGCCAGCGTGGCCCATACTGGCATGACCCAGATCTCACAGAAGTCAGTAGTGACTACTCTTCCCCCAGGAGTTTCACCATCAGCTGTTATCAACGAGGCTTCAACAACCAAAACCTCGGATCCGTCAACTCACCAATCGTCAAACTTTAGTCAAATGACAAACGGTGGCCATGCTGAGAACCGAGGTATTGAGGACGATAGCCAAGTCGACATCCCAGACACGCTACTCGTAGCCGGGCACAATACTTCTGGAGATGACTCTTGGTTGCACTCTCAAGCTCAGGCTGCCGCGGCAGGGGGTAACCTCATGCAAGGATCTGGCATCTCTGGTAGTCCACCTTCGCAGCGATCATCCGGTTTCAAGGCTCAGAGTGTGGGCGGAATGGCCAATATCCTCAATGATCAGACTTCTGATGAATACCAGTCGGTTCGAAACTCGGGCTCATCCACTTCCGCTTCTCAACCTTTCGCTGGAGGCGAGATAGATACAGTCCTTCAGCACCTAACGGACGCGACAAGCGGCTGTACTATTGAGCAACTTGAACAAATCAACCGTGAGCTCATGGACGCCATATGGCGCACAAGAAATGAGTGGAACCGCAGCAGAGTCGTTGACCAAATCATGCACGTATTCAACGGTGTAATGGACGACATTGATGGTATGCAAGGAGTGGGACCAGGTAGCCAAGTCCCCTATTGATGGCTGGCGCACCATAAAATCTCAGGAGAGATGTGTTTTTATAAAATGACAGGGAAAGGAAAGGAATGGAAAGGTTTCTAAGAGTCGGGTGTACGTTTGTAATCATGTCTAGGAGTTTGGTGAACGCAGCTTCCATGGCCAAGGAGGTATTAGATGTGTGTTCTAGAGGATATCATGGCTGCGCAGGTTCATTTCCCCCGTGCTATTAGCTACCTGTATAACGGTCTCTTTTTTCCTACATATCTTCAAACAATAGCGATCTTCAATAATTCTACAGCTTGGGTTTATCTTTTGTGCTGTCGTAGCGTTTGCCCTCGTCCGCTTGCTCTGCTACAGTCAAGTCTGGGAGACTCTGAGGCATGATCCTCCGTGGTGAGGCACCTGGAATCACATTGTATTTGGAAAAGTCGGTTATTCCTGCATGTTCGCGGAGGAAGTCTTCATCTAGGAGGAGCTCGCCGTTCACGACGCTTGGAGAAGCTTGGAGAATCTCGAGGATAGCATCGGAGAAGATGGTCGCCTTTCGTAAATCGTTAGCTTCCTCTGGGTTTTTAGCTGTAAATTTCTCAGTAGCCGCCGACTCGATGGCCTAATATGTCAGCTGTCAACGCAAACTCGAGGTATCAGATCCAACATACCACAGCTGGCCAAATAGATGTGATGGCCATATCCTTCTTCCCCTCGCGCTCAAAGTCCATGGCAAGACCCTTTGTAAGAACACTCATGCCGACTTTGCCCATAGCATATGCAGTCTTGCCACGGAAGAAACGACTATAGATAGGTGGACTAACGACAACTATTCGGCCTGAAGAAGATATCTGAGGAAGAACAGCTTGAACCGTTGCGTAGAGTCCTTCTGGATTGACGCGCTGCATGAGCTGGAAGCGCTTTACGGGAGTCGACGAGACAGGTGCCCAGAAGATGGCGCCTGAGTTGTAGATGAGAACATCTAGACGGCCATAAGTCTGGAATTGTCAGTAGGGAGAGTTAAAAGGAAGAACAATCTGGGAAACTCACGGAGATAGTATTCGATACAAGAGCATCTATACTCTCAGGATAGCGGACGTCGACCTGAATAGCAGTAGCGTCACCTCCCTCAGAAGTAATCTCGCGAGCAACTGTTGTGATGGTAGAAGCGGAAGAGTTGGGATTTGGAGGAAAGGGCTCAGGCAGATCGGAGGGATCACTGATAGTCTTTGCAGCAACAACAACTTTAGAGTGTTAGCTCATACCTGGTAGGTACAATAGATACAGCGAAGCTTGACATACCAGCGTAGCCATTGCGAGCGAGGTCAACGGCGACTTGACGGCCGATGCCTCTGGATGCGCCTACAACAAGGGCAACAGGTTTCTTGGATACCATTGTGGATAATTGTTTTACTCGGAGATTTGTTATTTGAGAGTTTGTATAAATACTGACGATCTGCTTATAGATCAGATCAAATCAAATGTTCCGAAAGGTCTAAGTCTGATGCACCCCAGCCTCCACCTTCCCCGAGCCTCGGCACGGGGGAAGACCCCACATGGACCGGGGGGCCGAGATCCGTTTAATAAAGCACCCTCCACCTTGGAAATGTATGTATTTATGTGTGTACCTGCAAGCACGGATACAAATCTCGTCATCTACTCATCGAATAACGTCAGAAAGAAGTGTTGTGCTAAAATGGGTGGACGTATCGACTGCTACCTCGACATTGGTGAGAAGCCCAACGTCTCTATTCCCGGACAGCACTGATATGTAACAGTGTCATTCTACAGTTATGTAGGATATGCGGACTTGAGGCAGAACATGAGCAAACTTGCTGCTCATGGAGTACAAGTGAAGTATGTTCATGGCTATCCACATCTTTGAGCAAATCGCTGACTTTTATAGCTTCATCCCTGTCTTTTTGGGTGGCATTATGCAGACATCAGGTAACTAACTATATTGAACCGAATACCACAACTTCTTCTTACATAGATTTAGGCAACCGTCCTCCATGGGTTCTCAAAGCCAAGGGGAAATATCTTGCTAGAGATTCATTCCGCGCTGCTGAGCGTCTTGGAGTTCCCTATCAAGGCTCGCCACCCGATATTGTTGCCATCGCAAAGACCGTGTCACCTCTCCGCGCCTTACACTTTATCAAGGAGAACTACCCAGAGTCAACTTATCTCGCTGCAATCCGGTACCTCTTCCACAAGATCTGGCTGCCTCCTCATGTCAATCTTGCCGAGGACGAGAAGCTCATTGCAGCTCTCAAAGAAGCAACCGATGAGCTTGATGGAGGGTCTGGCAAGAAGCTGTTCTCCGATGAAGATGTTGAGAAGATTATGAATGGGAGAGAGAGCATGAAGGAGAGGGTCAAAGATCTTACTGGTGAAGCGGTTCAGAAGGGCGCTTTTGGAGCTCCTTGGTTGATTGTGACCCGCGATGATGGCGAGTCGGAGGCTTTCTTTGGAAGTGACAGGTAAGTCGTCGTTGTAGTAAAGGAGAGAAAACAGAGACTGACTTGACAGATTCAATCATATTTACCGGTTTCTGGGGGTACCTTTCAAGGATGTTGAGATTTTGCCTCCGTCAAAGTTGTGAGGGTAGGCCTACCTAGGTAGATAAGCTTGGTGGTTAACAGAAAGAAATCATAAGCCTGGAACTGGATTTGTACCAGCAATGAAGACGGAATTTATTGCAGATGAAACGAAACGCGACTTATTACTTCCAAGCGTAAGAAGAGTGAAAGATGTAGAATAAATCCGTGATACATCGTCATGTCATGTCTCAGGCGTCATTAGTCACACAAACAAATCCACTCAACTTAAGCATCATCAAACCTCCACCTCTAACCTCACAGATCCATCATCAACATCTTGAGCAATGCAGTCTCTCGAACTGAATCTCATAGTCGCGGCCACTCGCAACATGGGCATTGGCCTCCATGGCACAATGCCCTGGCAGGGCCTACGCAAAGAGATGAAGTACTTTGCGCGCGTCACAACTCGGGTGCCACCACAGGTATAGTATACATTGCCCTTCCTTACCTTGCTAACTATACATCGCTGTGTTATCGCTGTATCGAAGAGACTACGAGAGTCACGCACTGACTCGACCAAGGCTCTCTCATCCTCTATCAACGCAGTCATCATGGGTCGCAAAACCTGGGACTCAATCCCCACCAAATTCCGCCCTCTCAAAGACCGTCTCAACATTGTCATATCCCGCTCCGCACCCTCAAAGCTCCCCGAAACAGTGGAACCCTCTGAACCCATAAGAGTTCAGTCTCTTGAGCTTGCTCTTCAATACGCCCGCACTCATAGCGACGTCGGTCGAATTTTCGTCATCGGTGGTGCGCAGATCTATGACGCCGCTCTCAGACTGCCAGAAGCGCGACGGATCCTCCTCACGAGTATTGAACGTGATTATGAATGCGATACCTTCTTTCCTGTCGACTTAAAGGATAAATCATGGGAGAGAAAGTCTAGAGAGGAATTGCAGGAGTGGACAGGTGAAGAAATTGAAGAGGGTGGTCAAGAAGAGGCTGGCACAAAGTATGAGTTTCAAATGTGGGAGAAGCGTGATTAGTTGACCATACAGAGATAATCACAACAAATGGACATATATATGAGGTGGAATATCATCAGGGAATTATTCATATAAGACCGTCACCCAATGCCCTATTCATACAGCCCTCCCGTTCTATTTTTTTTTTGTCATGTAACCCATACATCCATCTGATAGTACAAATCTTCCTTCCGCGCTCTAGTTCGCTGAAACCTTGGCTGTCTCTTCTGTTGATACAGGCTCCTCCTTCACCTCCTTAGCAGGAAGACTATCCTCCTGCTGGCCGCCAAGTTGCTTCTCCAATCTCGTCCAGAACACGTCCACTGGCTTGGCCATAATCACCGGTAATTGCGCAGGAAGGTTATTATCCGAAACAGCCTCAAACTGTAACAGTGTCGATCTCATCCAGCCCACAATAGCAAGAAGAGCTCTAGGATCCGCATCAGCAGAGCCCTTGAACAGGTTTCGCCAGATGGCGCTTGCTAGCATCGCATCGCCCTTGATGAGGCCCTCGTCATATGCTAGCAGAAGACCACGCCACTGAACGAAAATGTCCTTGAGGTATCGCTGGCGGAGGGCGCTCGACGTGATGTGGTGGTCGATGTGCATCTTCTTCTCGCACTCGAAGAAGAAGTGATCTGTGAGCTGGTGCTGCCAGTTTTGGAAGCCCTCGCGGTCGAAGCAACGTATTCGGGTGTTGATTAGGTAGAGGTGAAGCATGGTTACATGGGACCAGGTGCTGAAGGTTGGAGGAAGTTTGAAGGCTGTGAAAGTTAGCACGGGACGAGTTCTTTGAGATTGTTGAGAGACGTACTGTGATGCCAGGGACTATCAGGGTTCAGAGAATGCCCAATCTCTTCACCATCCTCTGCAAGCTGCACCTGATCATCTTTTCTCTCCTTCTCAGTGATGTGATAATCCGCCGCCTTCGCTGAAGCCTTGAAAAGCTGCTCTGTCGCACCCAACACACGATACGGCTCCGCCATAGACTTTCCAATACCCTTGAGGAGGCTCCTCGAACTCGTGTTGCTGAAATGTCGACGAGTAACAACCGCAGCGGGTGGAAGGAAATTCCTCGTTGTCGGTGCAGCGGCTCGTGATGCGCCGGCTCGCATTGCAGCCCGGAGGACGGCCCGGGCCTGGGTTCTACATGTCTCGCAGGCCATGCTCATTGTGAGAGTATGTTCAGTACGGAAATTCGGCGTGAAGGGCCTGGGCAAGGCGGGATGAGAGGCACTTGGAGTGTTATCGTCATGGACCCTTGGATCCTAAGCTAGTAAGTTGAATCTGAAATTTTGTGACTGGTTCGGCTGTCGGTAGCATGGTGCGAAATGCACTGTATCTACTGTGCTCTGTATCAACCAGAGAATAAGGAGGAATTTGATCAGCAGAAATACAATAGTTATACAGCTATTTTACAATTTATGTTAGCATCATTGATATTTGGAAAATAACAATGAGCTATTTGTACCGCCAAAGCCAAAGCTGTTGGATACAGCTACACGAACCGTCTTCTCGTGTGCTTCATTTGGCACAAAATTGAAGGCAGCTCCAACATCTGGCTTCTGTAGGTTTAATGTTGCTGGTACAACACCCTAGGAATAGTTAGTGAATGCGTCCTCACCGCTGCGGAGGTCACATACCTCGTGAATGGCTAGGATGCAAAACAAAGCCTCAATAGCTCCAGCGGCACCCAGCAAATGTCCGACTGCGCCCTTGGTGCTGCTGACTGTGACATCCGACTCTTTCTGGTGTCCCTCTTCGCCCAGCATGATCCGTTTTATGGCCGACGTTTCCGCTATATCGCCAACATGAGTTGCCGTCGCGTGTGCGTTGATGTAGTCGACCTGTGAAGGCTTGATGCCTGCACTTTTGAGTGCTTTCTTCATAGCAAGATATGCACCATGGCCATCCTCCCGTGGTGCTGTCATATGGTGAGCATCACCACTGCATCCGTAACCCTTGATTTCAGCATATATATGGGCTCCCCGTGCTTTGGCATGCTCTAATTCTTCGAGAACCACCATCGCAGCACCTTCAGAAACAACGAAGCCATTGCGGTCAGCATCAAACGGACGGCAGCTTGCTGTAGGATTGTTGTTGTACGCTGTGGACAGGGATCTCGCTCTGCCGAAGCCAGCGAAAGTCAAGGGATGGATACATGATTCCGAACCACCGGCGACCATAACATCGGCGTCTCCCATGGTTATAAACCGTGCTGCATCTCCGATTGAGTGTGCGCCAGTCGTGCAGGCCGTGGTGGCCGTGTGGTTGGGGCCCTGGAAGCCGTATTTCATGGCCACATGGCCGGCGGCCATATTAATAAGAATCTTGGGAACAAATAACGGGGACACCTTCTTGTAGCCCTGTCACATATTTAGCATAGGTTCGACAATAACCGAATGACTTCTCACGTCTTGATGGTGCACTAAACTGGTCTCGTAAATCTCGTCTAGATTTCCAATACCGCTTCCAAGGCAGACACCTGTAGCCTCCTGCTGCTCTGCGTTCTTCGGTTCCCACCCAGAGTCCCTAAGAGCCATGTCGCTAGCTGCGATGGCATATTGTGTAAATTTTGACATTCGTCGCTGCTCATTTGTATTGACCCAATCTGATGCCCTCCATCGTCCTTCTCCATCACCACTGGGCACTAACCCAGAGACTGTGCTCGTCAACTCTTTCCATCGTGCCTGGGGCTGGAGATCTGCGACGCTGACGATTCCGCATTCGTTGTTAATAAGACGAGTCCATGTTCGCCTTACGCCGACTCCCAAGGGCGTGATGGCTCCAAGGCCTGTCACTACGACGCGACGCATCATAAACTCATTCCGAGTAGCAGGTCTTGAATGAGATTCACAAGGGTTCAGTTGAGTCGCATAGAAACCTGATACAAATCAAGTGAATTTATACAGGTCCAAGTGATTATAAGACGGATGGCGGAGCTGATGTTGTATAAAATCGATGGATTATTTGATCCAAACAGAAGTGGAATTTCCGTGTCAGGCTTAGTGCCATCTTGATACAGGGGCATGTCTGAGGTACCTCTCATAAGTTGAACGGGAATCCTCCCGAACCTTATCTTGGACAACATCCTCCTGAGCAGATCTCTTACCTTCTTAGGATTATTTGGAGGATTTGTTCCTTTGATTGTTTGGTGCTGAACCAACAGCTTGTACTGTTGTCAATTTTTGTTTGCTGACAGGCATATGAGAAGACCCGAGCCTCAATAGACGCCACAAAGTAGTACAAACAAAAGGACAGTTCCTTCATATAACGACACGACTTCAACGACACCTCGAGTCTCGAGCATTCAGAAACTCTTATACTCAGCTCAGATACGCCCATTCTCTGTGTAGATAAGGAAGAATACATGTTCTAGCTCGACCTCAACCACGCTCGTTCTCTGTCTAGGATCTTGGACTTGAGACCAAGAGTGAGTTCATACCACAAAGTGCAATGCCTTTGAGATACTAATGTGGTATTTAGAATCTCTGAATTGACTAAAGAACTAGATGAGCTGTAAATTACTATAGCCCCCTTTCCGATAACCCCGGGTGAGAAGAGCCAAATCTTACAATGCCAAAGAACAAGAAGCTAGGGCCGGTATTACCAGCCGAAGCGGTTGGCCAAAGTATAGGAGGTCCTAGTGGACGCTTATCCACGTCTCTTGAGATTGAGGACTCATCAAATGAGAACCTTAAGCATCGCCTCCATGAGTGGGCAGCCTCCTCCGGAGCGCGAAATGATGACGACGCCGGTTCGGAATACGAGATGCTTATGGACCCAAATCTACCCCAGGAGTATGAGACGCGACGAAAGAGCTCAGGAGAGTCTGGTGATGAAGCAGCACTGCTCGGTGATGATGCAGACGACGAAGAGGAAGAAAACTCCCCTTATCCTGAAGTTCGAGCTGCGGTAAGAAACTTCGACGAAGATCTTCCATGCAATACTGTGAGAGCTTGGACCATAGGAATGCTTCTCGTCGTTGTAGGGGCTTCCACGAATACCCTTCTATCTCTCCGCCAACCGTCCATCAGTATTGGGCCTCTCATCGCCCAAGTCGTTGCGTGGCCTATGGGTCATGGCTGGTCGAAGTTCGTGAGTAACAGGGAGTTCAACACTTTTGGTATAACGTGGACTCTGAATCCTGGTCCCTTTAACGTCAAGGAGCATGCAATTATCGTTGTAATGGCCAGTGTGTCATTCTCTGTTGCGTATGCTACCGATATCATCCTTGCACAGGTTGTCTTTTATAAGCAGGACTTTGGTCTTGTGTTCCAGCTTCTCCTGACTATCTCAACGCAATCTGTGGGATATGGCATTGCGGGGATGCTACGCAAGTTCTTAGGCAAGTTGTCACTATGCCACAACGGTCCTTCAACTAACCCTAGAAGTCTATCCTGCATCCATGATCTGGCCCGAGAATCTTGTTGGTGTAACTCTTATGAATGCCATGTACGAGACAAACGATACACCAGATCCTACCATTATAGGGGGCAGAATGCACAGGTACAAGTGGTTCGCCATTGTAACTGCATGCTCATTCGTATACTACTTCATTCCAGGCTTTCTAGCGCAATTTCTGAGTATCTTTGCTGTGGCCACATGGATGGCACCCCAGAATCCTATTGTGAATCAGCTATTCGGAGGGCAGACAGGTGTTTCGATTCTTCCCATCACCTTTGACTGGACTCAAATAGCAGGATACGTTGGCTCACCGCTCATTCCGCCGTGGTATGTCTCACGGAAACTCTTGATAGGTGTAGCTGATCAAGAAAAGGCACGCCATCGCCAATACCGTCATCGGAGTTGTTCTATTCTTCGTTATAGGATCATCCTTTCTTCACTACGGCGGAGCGTGGTATGCTGAGTATTTGCCTATGAGTGACTCTGGAACTTATGATAATACGGGAAGAAAGTACAATATTACAAGGATTCTTAAAATGGACGACTTTACATTGGATGAAGAAGAGTACAAGAACTACTCACCTCTTTTTATTAGGTATGATTTGTTGTTCAAGTAACCATGATCAAGACTAACATGAAAAGCACCACTTTTGCCATGTCTTACGGCTTATCGTTCGCTGCTATCTCGTCACTCGTTGTTTACACCTATCTGCACAACGGAAAGCAGATCTGGCAGCAATGGAGAAACAGCACAAACGAGAAGCCTGACATTCACATGAAACTCATGAGAAAGTATGAAGAGGCTCCCACGTGGTGGTATATGTCTTTATTTGCTGTTGTAAGTCATGATGCTGCGTGCCTCTTCTTGTGTGGTCGATTAACAATGATGTAGATGCTCCTTATAGGGTTCTATACAGTACTAGGCTACCCAACCAATCTCTCCTGGTGGGCTTTCTTGCTTGCTATAGCCATCTCTTTTGGTTTTGCTCTGCCTATAGGCATTATCCAAGCTGTTACAAACACTCAGATTGGCTTGAATGTCTTGACAGAGTTCATATATGGATATCTTCAGCCAGGCCGACCTCTAGCGCTCATGATCTTTAAAACTTACGGTTTTATCACAATGTTAAACACTCTAAATATCGAAAGAGAGAAACTAGCTAACACCCACCGCAGGGCGCAATCACTTCGTTTTGTCTCGGACTTGAAGTTCGGACATTACATGAAGATCCCCCCTCGAACCATGTTCCTGTCTCAAGTCGTTGCCACTACATTCTCGTGCTTCATACAGATCGTCGTTTTAAACCTGTCCCTGAAAAACATACCTCAAGTATGTGAGCCTCAGCAAGTCGATCATTTTACGTGTCCTGGTGGCCGCGTCTTCTTTGCTGGTAAGTCATGCCAAGACTGATAGAAACCTACTAAAAATCCCAGCATCAGTAATCTGGGGCCTTCTAGGCCCTGCGCGCATGTTCTCGCCTGGTCAGGTATACTCTGGCCTCTTCGTCTTCTTCATCTTGGGTGCCATTACACCAATAGTTATCTATGTCTTAGCCAAGCGATGGCCGAGGTCTCCGGTGCGATATCTCATGGCACCCCTCATATTTGGAGGTGCAGGAGCGATCCCGCCTGCAACGCCGCTGAATTATCTCTCATGGGGCATTGTTGGCTTCGTCTTCCAGTTCTGGATCAAGAAGCGCCACTTCAGGTGGTGGACTAGACTCAACTTCCTAACGTCGTCAGCTCTCGATCTAGGTCTCGCCCTAGCGACTTTGTTCATCTTCTTTGCTTTTACGCTGCATGGTGTAGATCCGCCAAGCTGGTGGGGGAACAATATTGTCACTGCGACGATGGACGTCCAGGGGACCGCGATACAAGCTCATGTACCGGATGGAGAGCGATTCGGGCCCGAGAACTGGTGATGTAAGAGGTGCATATGAGAGGAAACATTGTATCTAGAGGTGCATATCTAGGCAAATTTGTTGGTGGCTGATGCATCTGCAGAACCGAACCATTCGATGCAATTTATCAGTCAGAGACATCTTTGACTCATGATGCTTATTAGAGTTATCTCAAAAGTATTCACTCAACAACCAGTTAGACTCGACGTGGCGCTTGTCGCGCAGATGGACAATAAGCCCGCCGCCCGCAAGTCGAGGAACTGAGACATATGCAAGACTGTACGGCATTACATTGCATTGCATTGCCTGCCGGGAAAAGGTGCCGCAGTATTGCATTTAGTGCGTGCGTGCGTGTGTTATGTGGCTTGCAGAAGGGATATATCCATGCACCGGGAACCGAAACTAATCCAAACATTGCCTCTTTTGTGGCATCGCATGATTCGTTGCGAGTACTGTACATACTAGCAAGCAAACCTGCATGCAATACTGCGCAGGCATGTCATTTTAGCCTAGGACGGGCATAACAAATTGCAGTCTAGAATCGTTGAAGGAATATGATGTATCAAGCAAACATTATGCAACAAGATGTATCCACGCGCCATGCAATGCAGAAGATACCTAGCTGAAATGAAATAGCGTCTTGGTACTGTATTAGCTGCATTGCATACCTACGGTACATTTAGAGCTGAGCAGCGACCAGTCATTTTTCAACTCACCGGGTTTCACGTTTCTGATCGGTATTGGTGAGTGGTGCTGAAGATCATATGCTCCTGTTGTTATTGTCTCTTATCTTTTCTCAGGCATTTGATTTGTAGTCCTAATTATGCAGTAGACTGACTTTCAACATAATATACCTAGCACAAGGCAGTTGATGCTACTACAGTGCGATAAAGAAGCAAAATGGTATCTGCTAATACCAAAACTATGACAACAGAAGTCTCAAACTAGGGGTAGATCACTTCTACACCGTATGTCGTCATTGTATGGGTCAAGAGCGGAATTCAGTCAATGCAGGCCAACAGTCAGTCACTGCTTGTTAACTTGGAGATTCTGTAGTGTTGAGTGACACATCAGCTACCCAAACATGATTGCCATTGATATCTATGGCATATGTTCCCGAAATACGTCTCAAAACGCTCTTCTAGGACTAAAGTGACATACCGTATTTGACATCTGCCTCCCACCAGCACACTAACAATCCTTCCTCCTCTGCCAAGTGCTAAGCTCATCCGCTTTTGCCGAACTATTTTCATTTGCCTGCCGAATCTCTCATCCATCAGGTTTTCTTCTTCTCTCACTTGCTTGGCTGTGTAGAGCTATTGTTCATCCTGCAATTGAACCGTTTGGAATGGTTCATTGTATGTCTGGGCTGTCAAGCCATCGAGGACCGGTCCAATCTGAACCTTGAAGAAACGTCAAAGCAGACTAATCCATGTCGATGCTATGATCACTGAAATTTGAACTTTGTGAATAGTCTGCAAAAGACTGAGATTGATCCATGTTGAAGT